TCTGGACATTCGCTAAACGGTGTAACACATCTACGAGCATGTCACATACCACACATTGTGTCAAACCACCTAAGTACTTGACACTATTGAAGTGATACCTTCTCTTCTTCTCACGCACTAAAGCCACCCCTGAGTGACTCACAGGGACCAAGACACACGCAAGGGAGACCGACAGGGACAGGCTCACGCTGAGTGTTAGCTTCTGTCTTACATCCTGCAGGACGCTGGGTCAGGCTAAGTTGTGTGCCAGACTAACTTCCTGCCAGAGTTCATCAATAACCCTGGACCTGCTGAAGTCCTGCAGCGCCTCGCTGCAACTTCTGGTCTTATTATTGTTAAGATCTCGTGTGTGATGTAATACAATACCTACTTCACTGCCTCTGCCTCAACGCTTCTCATATAATGAATGCAAAACAGCCACTGTTTTTACACAGTGGTTGATTTGCATATATATATTATATATATATATATATATATATATATATATATTATTTTATATATAAATATATATATATATATATTATATATATCTCCACGCCTGACCATTACCTACCAAATACATTTATTTTCAGCCGCGATTGCATTAATAGCTAAGCAACAAAATTGGATTCTGATTCCATTACTGGCGCGCACGAGCGCAGCAACAAACTACGCCAGCGATTTTTTGGCGCAAAATGCGATAATTCTGAAAAAAATGTTCCTCTTTTCTTCGCCTGATATATTTTTGCATGATGTCCTAAAGGGTCGTTCACGTGGTAATTAAGCACTATGCACTAATTAAGCCATAATGATGTAACTTAAGCAACTGGTTGCTATGTACTCGAGGTTTTTTCTGATGGTTATAACCATGACTTGAGTTTTATTGTCTTAGAAATTTTAAATTCAGTCATAATGTCTACAATTCAATGTCTTTACTGGGTTATCTTCAAGATACCCTGGTGTCTTGTGTGACCCAGTATGTCTTCAAGATACCCTGGTGTCTTGTGTGACCCAGTATGTCTTCAAGATACCCTGGTGTCTTGTGTGTTNACCCAGTATGTCTTCAAGATA